TTAGTAGAGTTTACCTTCAATCTAGTGATTTATTGTTTGAGTTCCAAGTCTTGGTGCTACGAATTGTTTAATGGCTCGGCTTAACTCCCGAAACCCAATTGCATAAACCAATTTGTAAGGCAGCCATTGCTGTCGAAATCTAACAGTTGTGTTTGTCCTTTTTTTTTTTTTTTGCGTTATTACCCGTCTACACTACAGTTGTGTTAAAAACAATTTTTTTAACAAAAATCAAAAATATTTAGTCTAACTATTTAAATTATTTTCAAATTATCATTCTGCCCGCAGGGCGGACTGGTCCTAGTAATTAATGTAAAAGTGAAATAGTGTATTATGAATGTGATAGTTTTAACAATTTCCCTTAAATTTTTTATCGGATTTTTAATTAACAGATATTTACTAAATATAGATTACTTAATGGGTTATTGGGTTTATCGATCCTGCAGGTCTGGGTTGGGAAACTTAGCTAAGTTTACTGAATACATTTTATCAAAACATTGGATTAATCAGATAATTTTTCTATAAAAAAAAAACATATTTCTACAGTTGGGCCTTGTTCTTGTATACTGAATGTGATTGTACAATCTACATATGGTGTAAAAATGGGATTCGCTTAGTAGAGTTTACCTTCAATCTAGTGATTTATTGTTTGAGTTCCAAGTCTTGGTGCTACGAATTGTTTAATGGCTCGGCTTAACTCCCGAAACCCAATTGCATAAACCNTTAGTAGAGTTTACCTTCAATCTAGTGATTTATTGTTTGAGTTCCAAGTCTTGGTGCTACGAATTGTTTAATGGCTCGGCTTAACTCCCGAAACCCAATTGCATAAACCAATTTGTAAGGCAGCCATTGCTGTCGAAATCTAACAGTTGTGTTTGTCCTTTTTTTTTTTTTTTGCGTTATTACCCGTCTACACTACAGTGACTATGCGTGCCACAAAGGTTCGATGTCCTGAAGAATTTTACTGAAAACACTACTAACACTGAAAGATTTGTGGATGACATTCAAAGTTTGAGATAGTGTGACGTAAAGCTTAACCACACAAAGGAGAGACAGAGGATATGGATAGATAAATAGATTATCCAAGAGCAACCAATCTATCAGCCACATCAGCAACCACAGCCAATCAGAGAAGAGAATCATATTTCACATTTTCAATTTGAACCAATCGAAATCCAGAAGGAATCCTACTATCCACCTTTATAGTACCAGTTTTGTATCTTCCTTCCTTTCAGTTAACTTTAGCATTTCCTTGGCTTGAAACAGACTAAAAACTTGAAAATTTTGGGCTAAGATGGCATCTTTGGGTGTGTCGGAAATGCTTGGTACGCCCCTTAACTTCAGGGCTGTGTCAAGATCGTCTGCTCCATTGGCATCGAACCCCGGCACGTTCAAGACAGTTGCTTTGTTCTCCAAGAAGAAGCCAGCTCCTCCTCCCAAGGCCAAGACCGTCTCTGCTGCCAACGACGAGCTCGCCAAGTGGTATGGTATGTGGCTTCTGCTTCCCTTTCTGTGTGTATCTTTCATTCTCTATCGTTATGTCACTCTGATTATGATGACTCTTGTTTCAGGTCCTGACAGGAGAATCTTCTTGCCTGATGGTCTTTTGGACCGATCAGAGATCCCAGAGTACTTAAACGGTGAAGTTGCGGGAGAGTAAGACACTTCTTCTTGTCTCCTTTTGTATGCTTACTTTGGCTTCGACCCTAAGGCTTTGATCTGAATTGCAGTTATGGTTATGACCCTTTTGGACTTGGAAAGAAGCCTGAGGACTTTGCTAAGTAAGCCTATTATTATTCTCTGCTGTAACTCTGTTTCATTATTTGAGCAATGTCACTAAAACTGGTGTTGTAATGAATGTGGTTGTTCAGATACCAAGCCTTTGAACTGATCCACGCGAGATGGGCTATGTTGGGAGCAGCTGGTTGCATCATCCCTGAAGCCTTAAACAAATATGGCGCTAACTGTGGCCCTGAAGCCATCTGGTTTAAGGTTTCTTTTGGCTACTTCAGTTTTACTTAATATTTCTATATTGCCAAATGCCAAGGAAGAATATGTGATGTGATCTTATTTGGATGCAGACTGGTGCTCTTCTTCTTGATGGAAACACATTGAGCTACTTTGGCAAGAACATCCCAATCAACCTTGTTCTCGCTGTAGTTGCTGAGGTTGTTCTCCTTGGTGGTGCTGAGTACTACCGAATCACCAATGGATTGGTACGTACATTTCTGCTATTACATATTTTGACCTTTCCGCATGCTTTTGTGAAAAGAATGAAATTCTGAAATGCAAAAAAACTTGGGCAGGACTTCGAAGACAAGCTTCACCCAGGAGGTCCATTTGATCCCTTGGGACTTGCTAAAGACCCTGAACAAGGAGCTCTTCTCAAGGTTAAAGAGATCAAGAACGGGAGATTAGCCATGTTTTCCATGTTCGCTTTCTTCATCCAAGCTTATGTTACAGGAGAAGGCCCTGTTGAGAACCTTTCAAAGCATCTCAGTGATCCTTTTGGCAACAATTTGCTTACCGTCATCACTGGAACTGCTGAGAGAGCTCCCACTCTCTAAGTTCTTTCTAGTATTAAATGATCTTTGAAAATGCTTTGTAAACTTTTGTTTGATGAGAGTTTCTGTTGACATTTGTGAAAAAAAACAATTATGTTACCTTATTCATTCTAGCAGTGGATATATATTTGGGTTTTATGAAGCATTTTGCTTCCAACAATAATATGAAATAAATAAAACATTTGTAATCAAGAACATACACACACCAACACTTACATAGTCATAACTCATAAGACATATAACCATCTCACTGCGCAACGAAAGTTGGTTACCATCTTCAAACCTGATCCCTCTAGAAGAGTCTTCATTTACCATATGACAAGTCACAAACCTATCCATCATTGACCATCCGCAGTCTCACAAGTGTAACCTCTAAACCCGGCTCACACGTTTGCTGGTATTGTAACCCTTCACTAGCCGCACTCTCACAATCCTTTGGAAGCGTTGAAGAGTAGTCAAATCCAGTGGAAGGTGGCTTATGGAAGATAATTGGGTACTGATGAAGTGCAAAGTCAGACTTGTTGAGTTCGAGTGTCGTGTCTCCGTGATTACGTAGTAGATGGTAATGACTATCTTGGTGATAAGCTACGTGCTTGGAGCGTGTTGTGGTTGTTGGATGCATCATGGTTGTTTTAGTTCGTTAAGTTATTCATTGAGCCTTCATTGAGTACTACCTTGAACAAATTCTTCTTCATAAATACCCTACAAACCACCCATCCATCTTCCTACAAGATCAAATAGTATGGAGCAAACTGATTAAATATAGATAACTTCTTAACTAATCAATTAATTTAACGCATGATGTACACAGAACCTTATAGTACACCCATGCCTACACAAGAGTATAATTGTAGTCTTACAACTCTGTCTGTTCAGAGACTTCCCTCAAGTGTCGTTGCATCGAACGCCCATGCCTACACAAGACTATAATTCACCACAGAGAAGTCTTATATCTATCCAACCTTTAACTAATTTCTTCTATAGCAACTTGAATCACCTAATCGGTTTAAAGATTGTCCATCACTCTGTTTACACCAAACCGAGCTTAAAACCATTATTTTGCAAATGATAAAACTAGCTAGCATCAATAAAATCTGAGTGACATTAATACTTTACAAGTGGAATACCTAAGAAACAGCTGAAGGTATTGAATATACAATTCCCAAAGAAAAGGCAGTCTTATAAACCGAAAAGGCTTCCAAGACAGTCACACTATGATATCAATCAATTTTTTTTTCATGAACAGATCAAAGTGAATGGAATCGAGATCTTTTTCTTTCCTTGTCAAGCAGAGTTTTTCTGACCATCACTGTTTTTTCATTCCCGTCGCCTTGGAGATTGTTTTGATCAATCCTTTGGTGATTTTCCAGAACCAAAGAAGATTCATCGTTGACAGGACCGGTCCTACCGCCAGAAGGCTGTAAAATCCCAGTGGAAACACTTGCTTCACCTGCAAATAAAATAAAATAAAACTTTTTAGATTCACATCTCTAGAAATGTATGCTTATTTAACTCAACCTCAGCATTGAGGTTACCTGATGAAAATGGGAGTACATGTGTACAAAGAAGTAGATAAACAAAAGGATCCTTGCGACCTGTACGAGAAGCAATTACATTCGGTTATGCTAGAACAGAGAGATTTGTTTTGGTCTATCGAACATTACCAGCCAACCCAAGAACAGGGCAATTCCATTGAGTGTGTAAGCCTTGGAGCCTTTTTGACCACTAGCATCCAAGTACCTGCCATTCATACGCTTGATGTTTAGAGAACACACGTATCTACAACTTTTGATTGCACTGTCTAAATCCGAAAAACTAACCACCGTAGGTTGACAAACGGGGTTGTGGCCTCAGATAAGAGAACCATGAATATGTAGAACTGTGCTTGTCCACTTGTGACAGAAAGAATGATGGAGAACATCGATAAGCAGTGATGGAAAACCTTTAATAGGTAATAAATAATAGACATTAGCGTATACAACAAATCCAAACCAGAATTAAATGCTAACTCTATACCAAAATATTTTCATTAACGAATATGGAAACTATTCATATGATGCTTTGATACTTACATATTCAACACCACCAAGAGTAGGGAAATGCCAAAAGATCATCATTAAGTCTGCTACAAAATAGCCTAAGGAGATCTGTCAAGAGAGAAAAGACTAGTTTATCAAACAAACATCAAAATGCACAGAAAAAAGAATGATTGATTGCCTAAAATACTCACCCCCATTACAGATTCGGATAACCTAGTTGTACTATTGATGACTGAATCACCATGAACACTCTCATCAAACTGATCTGAAATCACCAGGAGATAGATTGAAGCCACGGAAACAAAAACAGCATGGAACGTTGAGAATCCCCTGTGAAGAAAAGAAAAACAGAAAATCTATCAACTCAAATACAAATCTTGAATCCACAAAAGAAGATAAAAAGAAAAACAAAACCTGTTGTTCCATTCCATTCTAACTTTGCCATCAAGTTTCCCATAAGCACTGAAGAGCAAAGGACTTATGAAACCAGTCAAGTCATAAACCTTCACAACAATGAACAAAAATTTGTAAATAAAATTATAAAAAAAAAAAACAGATTCTTGCATCGTTGACCTAAAGGGCTTACGAGTTTGCACATGAGGATGCCAGAACAAACAGATGCAAGCAAGATGAGTTGCTTTGAAGAGTCGTCATCATCACCGGTGAATGCGTAATTGGTCGTCATGAAGGAATCTTTCTTTGATGCGAGCTAATTGAGACAAAACACAGAATCAAAAACTTGTATTAGGGACACAAAGAATCGGGAAAAGGAAACACTTTTTCGATCGTAATCGTAAAAGGTAACCTAGAAATGGGTCCAATGACTAAATCAATCATCAAACAAAATTAAAAAAGGAAGACGTGTATGTACCCGAGGAATCTCTTTCTTGCGGTCAATTACAATCCTCCTAAAGTTTCAAGCTTTTCTCTTTCTCTCTCTCTCTATCTTTCTTTCTATGGGAGGAATCGAATTTTATCAGTAGCACCCGCCAGCCATTCGCGTCATTGGTAAGTAATTATACTATTTTGGTTTTCCTTATTATATTATCTGAAGCCAGAAGGTTCGTCTCTTTCTTGTGTAAAATATTCGGAATTTTAATTTTCTAATACTGTTATCCTATTAGACGTATGTACTCACTTGGTTTGGTTTCGGTTGAATTGAACACACATGATAATACTGATATTTCGGTTACAATATATAAATGTTATTTTCATTTTGAATAGATATATTTTGGAAATAATATTTTTTATTTAATAATAAAAATTCAATTACAAAAAGAAAACTTATTGGATTACTGTTAATTTAATCATTATTAATAAATTAATATTAGGTGATTTTCCCGTGCTCATGCACGGACATAAATATTTATGAAATAAATATATTATAATAATTGATTGATATTTATTCTAAAATTTAAATTAATTTATAATTCATAGGTATAATTTAAATTTCTATTAATTTAATTATATATGTAGTTTTAGATATTTTATATTTCGTCAGTTTTATTGTTTTTACGGTTGGTTTACTTATCATTTGGATATATTAGATTCTATCTATTTCTCTGAATTCAACTATAATTTTTTCATTCTAAATATATTAAATTTTTGATTAATGGTCTTATTTGCATTTATACCGGTTGTTATCTTAGAAATATAAGTATATCTAGTAAAATTATGTATAACTTAAGAATTTTTGTGCTTGGAAAGAAAAAAAATAAAAACTAAACTGTGTGATTCTAAATTACATACATAAGTAACTGATAAATATTTGGAAGGTTATGAACACATATCAATATTTACAATATTTAGATTGGTTGAATGGTAAACTGAAATTTATTCTAAATAATTTTAAAAATAATAATTCTGATTTGCTTAAGTATTTTGATTGTGGTTATATTAAGTCTCACAAACATAGAAAACAGAAAATTAAAAATCCAAAGAGTTATTAAGAAAACATACAATTTTAACTATTAAAATGTAATATATCTACTTCTATAAATTATAAAGTGTTATGATATTTTAAAATAATTTTAGTTATTTGATCGAAAATGTTTATTATTAAAATTTCTTTTTAGTTTTGTTTTTAATATCTTTTAAAATATGCAGTAAAATTTTTATTGTTTTTGAGAAATTATATTATATAAGTAAAATAGAATTTATATTTTTTTGCTGTAATTGTAAAATATTAAAATAAATTAAATATACTAAAAATAAAAAAAAATATTTCAAGAATACTAATTATAAACAAAAATTCAATTAAAAACATATATCTGTTTATGTTACTTAATTATTTTATGTAATCATCTAATAAAATGAATAGATTTATAGAAAAAAAATAATTACTTTGAATATATATATATATTTATTATTTATAATTATTTTTTAAGAAAAAAATAATTTCTTTTTCTAATATCAAGATTAATTGTGTGAATTATTTTTTATGGAATCACATTATATACAAATATTGTTTTTCATCTAAGAAGATATAGATATAAAGTATTTTAATAATTCAAAAGTATTTTTCTGTTATTTAAAATATATTTAAATTAAATATTAATATTTTGTGAACTTTTATTTTTTATGCAACCATATTTATATATACTTATATTTTCGTTTTTAAATAGTTTTGTAAACTTTATAAATGGTTCCTTTTTATTTTATATTGTTATTTGGAAATTGTTTGAAAGGATATATTTATATTTTCGTTTTTAAATAGTTTTGTAAACTTTATAAATGTTTCCTTTTTATTTTATATTGTTATTTGGAAAAAATTAAAAGGAAATAATAATATGTAAATGTATTTTTTCAATTTATTAGGGGTATCATACAAATCAACCAGCGTGAGAGTTAACGTGAGCGCGACACATAAGAAAGTGACTTCTCAAATAATATTAAAGAGATATGTGAAAGACCTATATTTAGAACACACGAATATATATTTTACTATTTAATCATCTATCTATCTATAATAATAAAGTAGAGTTGTATTTCTCCATGGTGGGCAAATAATTACACGTGACATCTTTTTGGGCCAATTTTGAATCTTGAGCTTTCTGCTTGATTCATTTGTTTATATCAAAATTTTTAGCCCATCTATTTTTAGGATTGTCTTTGTCTTCCTCTTCATTATCAGTGGCCGCCGTAGAGCAAAGAACATTTCCTTCTTCTTCTCCGACTCAATGTTACAACCTTTCGTTTCCCCTTCTTTACTTTCATGATAGACATGTTTATCCCACTTTCAAGCATTCAATCCCACTTAATTGCATCCTCAAAGTAATTGACATGAGTTTACACTATAAATATCCACTCTTCCACACATGAACTTTAAACCTTCGAGGAGTTCCAAAACCTTTGTATATTCAGCTTTCAAAACAGTGAAATGGGAAATTCATACACACTTCTTGCCGATTTGAAACCGCATATGCTCCACCAATGCAGAGGTTCAGTTGCTGAGATTCTGGGAAGCGAGGAATGTTAGGAAAGACGGTGAATTGATGAGAATTGACATGCTTTTCATTAATGAAAATGTAAGTTCCTCATTTGCAAATCTTCTCATATATTAGGTTGTTAGTTTATGTGCTTTAGATGTAGTTATGATATTTGTTTTTAAAGACAATCGTGTTTTTTTTAAGATTTGTCTGTGTAAACGGTCCTGATCTTATTGTCAACGACAGCATATTACTTTCGTGAATCTTCTAGATATTTGGTGTTTGTTTTAATATAAGATTTACTATTATAGATTTCGTCTGTGTTGGTAGACTTTGTTTTTTCAATCAGATTCAAAAATTATGAACTCAAGATAAATTGCAATCGTGTGTAGACGATATTGTTCTTATACTCAATGAAAGCATATTGATTTCTTCAATCTTGAAACTATTTTGTGTTAGTTGGTTTTATTCTTTTGTTGCGACTGAGTTCGTAGATAGAGTTCATTGAATTGAGTTGATCTACTTATTACCCTATTATCATGTTTAGAGGATCCTAATTGTCCTTTTAAACAGGCAACTCTCATGCAAGGTTCTGTTGGGCCAACCGGAAACTCAAGTTTAGGGAACGCCTAAGGGAAGGCTCCCTCTACACGTTGAGTGGCTTTGACCTATTACTGCTCGGCGATGATTACATGGGGGAAAGACAAGGCGGTAAGCACTACGGTTATGATGTTTATTGATTTTCTTATTTACTTTTTGTTGACGTGATTGTAGGTCTGTTCTATGAGGCAAATAAGAAATAGTTCCATGTAGCTAAGAAGATAGATAAGAAACTACAAGAAATTTGAGATATTCTGCAATACGGTACATGGCTTTGGCAAGTAACTGAAGCCAGGACTCAACGGTTTGTCCACATGCCTAACTGACGGTATGAGTCTGATAAGTTTGAGATAGTAATTGTTTTCCCTCGCTTATATAAGAACAATGTGAATTGAATTATGATAATCCAGATTACAAAAGTGAAAGCCTCAAGGTTCGTCGAATCACACACGATCTCGACTCACCTCACACGAATCCTCGATAAGAGAACCGCCTCAAGACCTTAGTCTCACTAGCTAGTTCTCAATCATAAACTTGATAAAAGACTACAACAGAATTGTTCAGGATATTAAAATCTCCCACGTAGCTGACAAACTTCTAAAAATGAATTAGAGTATCACCTTCCTTTATTCTTCCTCCGAATCTTCTGACTCAAGCAGAGTCTTTAGAAGTTCCCGCGTTTTCTTCTTAAATCCTCCCTTCAACGTCTTCCAACACTCTCTTCCCCACGTTTCTTCTTTGAGTAATACACCTGCATAGGTGTATCAATACCCCCCCCCCCTTCAACAGTAAGCTTGTCCTCAAACTTAAAGAGTGAAAACTCCCGTTTGAATTCCTTAGCCAATACCCACGAATTCTCATGCTCAAGTAGTTTTTCCCAACGCACCAAAAACTCCAAACCCCCTATAGCGTTGTACCGAGTAGCCAAAATCTCAGCTGGTTCAATCAACACCTCATTCAAGTCATCACAAACCAGTGGTAAGGATGACACAACAGGATGTTCACCCAAGACCTTCTTCAGCTGTGACACGTGAAAACCTGAGTGTATCTTAGACTCCACAGGTAAACATAATAGGTAAGCAGCTTTCCCAATCCTCTCCAATATTTCATATGGTCCAAAATATTTCACAGAAACCTTCTGACACACACGTTTCACTACCGACTGCTGTCTATACGAACAGAGCTTCAAGAACACCCATGTCCCCACCTCAAACTCCACATCCCTTCGATGCTTATCTGCATTATTCTTCATTAACTGTTGTGCTTTCATCAAATGTTCTTTCACTGAACATAATATCACATCGCTCTGTTTCAAAATATTTTCCAACTCATAATTATCTGTAGACCCCTCTTCATAACGTAGTATAGCTGGTGGATCCCGACCATATAACACCTTAAAAGGAGTCATCTTGAGAGATGAGTGGTGTGAAGTGTTATACCAAAACTCAGCCCATGACAAGAACCGAAACCATTGACGAGGATGACTTGATTTGAAACAGCGTAAGTAAGCTTCTAAGCATCGGCTAATAACCTCTGTCTGGCCATCGGTTTGAGGGTGGAACGCTGTACTATACTTCAGTCTTGTACCTGCTAACTTGAAAATCTCCTTCCAAAACACACTGAAGAAATGCGATCCCTGTCTTACATTATAGATCGAGGATACCCGTGCAGACGAATGATCTCTGTGAAAAATTTTCGAGCTACATCCAAGGCAGTAAAAGGATGACTCAAACCAATAAAATGAGCATATTTGGATAGACGGTCAACCACCACAAGAATCACATTATGCCTCTTGAAGTCGGAAGACCCTCAACAAAATCCATCAACAAGTCTTTCCAAACAGACATTGGTATTGGTAATGGTTGCAACAACTCTGCTGGAGAAAGAGTTGAGGTCTTGTGTGTTTGACAAACCTGACACTCGGCTACATAACGTTGAACTTCTTTGAATGATCCCTCCCAATGAAACATTCGTTGTATCTTCTTT